ACGATCCCCATTCCAAAGGGTGGACCTGTTCATCCATTTCTATTTGCATGTTTTTTAGCTTTTTTGGAATGACTATGACCTGGATGACTGAGATTCTTCACCATCATACAGAAACGAGGAGACGATCTGGACGAGGTCTGCAAAAGATGGAGTGACAGATTCTACCTGAATGACATGAAGCAGTGAAGATCTCACTGTTTGCTAAAGAGCTTGCAGGCGAGTTAGTCAGGTGATTAAGGTCCTGGCAGCACAGAAAAGTCAGCAGAAGTCGTCTGAGCATTGGAGAGCAGATCTTTGCCTAAAAGAAGAGATTCCCCGCCATGAATTCACAGAGATTCTTCAAAGACAACTTAAAGAAATATTATGAGCTAACACTGAATCAAGCTGAGACAGAACGTCAGTTTAGGCTCAGCAGGTCTTTAAAATGACAGTTACTCTAATCTGAGTCCCTTGTCATTATTTTTTTTTTGACAAAGCTGGAAAGTAGAATGTGAGTAAAAGGACTTTCATTGCAATAGTTGCATCGTTTATTTCTAGAAGAATGGAAAATTCCAGAGAAGCTTCTGGAAGGTAAAACCAAAGCTTTGGCCCAAGTCATAGACTGTCTGCTTTCAAGTCACATTCATGTTTTCTTTTTTTCACACGTTTTTCACAAAGTATATTTCACAATGTGGCTGTTTATTTTGCAGCAGGAGTTCTGGATCAGCGTCAGTACACCGTGTTTCCTCCTGCTGCCTGAAAGAGGAGCCCATGTAGACCCAGGCCGGAGGTCAAGGCAGGAGCATCTCTCTTTTCACTGCACTTGGCGGAAGGTTTTACTGCTTCCAAGGACACAGGAATGTTCATGGCTTGGTTTTCTGTAGGCGGCCTGATCTTTATTGCATCAACCCCTGCGCCGTATCCGTGTCTCCTTGTTTGGCAGCTAGCAGAGTGTGGCAACAAGCGACTGCGCGGCTCCTGGGTGGTGAAGGAGGAGGAGGAGGAGGAGGAGGAGGAGGAGGAAGCTACACAACATGAGGAAGAATATTTCAATCAGACAAACAGGAGAGAAGAAGCTGACCGGAACAGATCTCTAAGAGAGGAAAGTGAGTAAAAAATTTATTTTCTGAATAAGGAATCCTTTTTTAAGGCTGTCACTAAAATGTCATGTAAAATATCAGATTTTATTTTGGCTTTAAACTAAATTCAGAGTGAAAATTTTAATCAAAAATACTGTAAAGTTTTTCCAGTTCATTAATATCCATCTTAAGGACCTGGATTCACCAACCAAACCTGCTAAAGGAATCCCTTCATTTAAAATCTAAAATCTGTTAAAACTAACAGGAAGCTAAGCTAATTCTTAACAAATAAATTACTGGCTGAATATCTTTAATGACCTCAATGAATAAGTATTACATGGTTTTCAAACTTGTTGCATCATACTCCAATGGTTTGTGGTCAAGTTATTATCATCAATTTCTAACTTTGTTAAAGAAGCAAAAAGTTTCAAAAGTTATCATCAAGTTGCATCAAAACCTTAAAGGGGAACGCCGTTTTTTT